TGGAACTATCTGCTTTTGCAAGGGCTCACTAATCATGAAATTAATGGTCTGTTAAGAAGTTCCACTGTGAGCACACTTGATTGAGCTTTGGTCATTATTTGCTTTTCTTTCTTGCATTAACCAGGAATAAGCATCAGGTTAAAACAGACTTCTCTCTCAGGTTTCAGTTCTATATGGCATTGACTACTACTGAACTAAACAAAGCAGAAAACAAAGTGCCTCAGCACTTTCCAGGATGGAAGTGATGACTATTTTTTTCTCTTTGAATGCGACAGGTACTACAGTTGTTGCTCGGCCCGTCTTTTCTGCGTTTGTTTGGAAGCTGTGTGTTAGGGTTATACCTTGGCCTAATATGCAGGTAGAAATGTTTGTAAATCCTTACTGAAAAAAATTAATATAGTACAGTATAAAAGCTCTGCTGCTAAAATGATGGCACTATACCTCCTGACAAAATAGTGGCTGTATCATAAAGGCTGCATAATGATTTTCAGTCTGCCTCAAGAATGGAGAATGTGACAACATGATAAGAAGTGATAGAAACTAGAATTTTCATTATGGCTTTCAACATTCCGTCCAAGTCCTAACTTAGCTGCTGGAAATGTTTGCAAATTGCACTTCCTTTAAATGCTGCTATTTAAATCAATAACTTTAAAATTGCCAACTTCCAAAGAAAGTGAATAGCATATGACTAAAACGAGAAAGTTCATTTTTATAACTTAAAATGAGGTATAGACTTGGGTTAAAGTTTGCCACTTCAAACGCTAAAATGAATAACAACAATATTCTAAAAAAAAAAGGCACAAAAAAAGGACAGATTTTTCTAAAAAAAAAAAAAAAAGGGGGGGCTTTTTCCTATCCTGTTTTCATTACTAAATACTACAGATGGCAATGTTTTGAAGAAAACTCCCGTCTTGTCTGATAATCACTACATGGTTTTGGTAGAGGGATTTTTATATATATTTTATTAACCTACTTTGTATTTAAGAGAAGCCCTTTTGAAATGAATTCAACTTAATATCTGTCAAGAGGTTTTAGTTGTGGGGAGATTGTGCTGTGTACACATATAGATGAATCCTTATAACAGCTTTTTGAATTACATAAAATTGACATTTAATTTCTAAAATATCCCATTTCTTTACAGATGTAATAGTTTTTGTTTTGCGCTCAAGAAGACTGTTCTTTTGTCTGTTTACAGGCTCTAAAGCTATCAGTGTGATGAAAACTCAGTGTGTTGGAGCTTCACTGACCATGGGTTTTTCCGTTTTCATTTCTCTTAGCTGCAGTATGAAGCCATGACTCTTTTTCCGCTCTGAAAATACAGAAGTTTTCATTCAACACTCATTATCCTGGCAAAACAATGGCTTCCAGGTTTAGACAATTAGATTATTGTAACTCAGTAATACTGTCCACCTGAGGAGTGACTTATTTTTCAAAATTGTTAGTTTCACATATTTATGAAACACTTCTGAGACTTCTGTAGTTTCACTGAGGGGAAAAAAAAAAAAAAAGATAACACACTTCTTGTGATTTATGTTATCCAGACGTCTAAAACTCCTTGCCCTCTTTGCAGCATTCAGAAATAGGTTCCATACAAGTTCATCTTGGAAGTAGAAGCAAATGTAAGAAAAGGTTTCTATTTGTTTGCTATCACTGTTGAATTTCTTCATATCATAGAAAGGGGTTATAAATCATAGAATAGAATCATAGAATGGTTACGGTTGGAAAGGACCTTAAGATCATCAAGTTCCACTCCCCTGCCATGTACAGGAACACCTCACACTAAACCAAGGCTCTGTCCAACCTGGCCTTGAACACCGCCAGCGATGGAGCATTCACAGCTTCTCTGGGCAACCCATTCCAGTGCCTCACCACCCTTACAGTAAAAAACTTCTTCCTTATATCCAATCTAAACTTCTCCTGTTTAAATTTGAGCCTGTTACCCCTTGTCCTATCACTACAGTCCCTCTCCAGCATCCTTATAGGCCCCCTTCAGATACTGTATATATAAAAGGCATATTATGTTGAGGACGTCAGAACTGTATACAGTACTCCAAGTGAGGTCTCATGAGAGCTAAGCAATGAAAAGAGAGATTTTTCTTGTTCATTTCTATGTAGCCACTGTCAGTGGCTCTTAAAATATGCAAGATTTCCACACAAAATGCAAACCATGAGAGGGGTCATTTTGTGATTGCTTAATCACATGAATTAGACAAATACTTAGCTTGTATTAATTCTTCAAGCAAGATGCTGTTATAATTAAAACAGCAGATTTCATTTTTTTTAGTATTTTAAGCCTCCTTGTAGATTACCAGTTGAAAACTACCATTTTCAAAGACCAATTAAAATTGCATTATTACTGCATTTCACTGCAAAGAGCAAAGATAATGCCACAGCTAATGTAAAACTGTTTCTTATGAACTCAACAGATCCCTTAAGAGCAAAGACTCAGTGCCTAAACATGTCTTCTCAAAAAAACTTCTGCCTTCTGGCAAAGAAATTTTTATCTATAACACTAATGAAAGAATTGCATATGTTATGCACCAGGTAGCAGATGACTTTTTGAACACTTTTTTCTTTGAATTGCATTAAAGTCTCATGCAACTTAATTTTACGCACAAATCCTGATTTTCTTTTTTTTTTCCCAGAAAGTAGAGTTATACTGCAGGTTTTCCAAAAGGACAGATTTTTAATATTTTCTTTTGTCAAAAAATTATAGAATAGACTTGGAATTCAAGATTTGTGATGGCTGCTTCTCTCTTCAGATTTGTATTCATTAAATATAAAATATATCGTCATCTCAAACTGGAAAATATCAAGGTCTAAAATGTATCTCCCAGGCTAATACTTGTCAAGTGACTTTAATATGGAACAGTTTTCTTCAAGAAGGTGCAAGATCTACATAAGCATTAGATGCAGTTCTCGTCAGGTTAAGCAGTTATCAGCCAACATCAGACAAAGAAATGCTGACACTAATTTTCTATTTGGTTGTCTTCTACTTCCTACCTCCAGTAACCTACTACAAACTTACAGTGAAATAAACTGGTGGTGACATTTGGCACATATCACTGTGTGATGATTCATCAAACCTCAACATCAAAAGGTATACAGAAAAAGCAATGCTTCTACTTCACTGAAAATTCAATGCATGTAGACATCAAGCTGTGTGTGGTTCTTACATACTGCAGTGCTTTGTAAACATCATAGCACTCAATTTCATTTAGGAAAGTTTTATGTGAGATACACATTTTTGGTTAAAATAATTTGGTTTGCTTTTTCTTTTCACGAAGCATCTTTAATAATATATAAATATTATTAATGTCAGTGGCATTTGACTACTGTTTACCTGCTTTTCTACATAAAACAATATTTTGAAAGGCTTGCTTTCTTACAATATTTCATAAACATGCTAAAATATGTACTTTGCCAAATACTGTGACTGCCTTTCCTTCCTGACAATCATTCATTTTACTATATTCCTGATAGTTCTTTATTGGCTCAGTATTTTTAAATATTACAGCTTTATATATTTATTTGTTTCATAATTTGCATTTTCCATGCAAAGTTTATACTTTCCTAAACTCAGAACCATTAATTATATTAATTATACAACATAAATGCAATATATAGTCCCAGAGAACAACTAAAAAGTGATGCTTACAAAAGTGTAAAAACACCACTGCAGATAGTCTGTTCTCTATAGCTTTCACCTTACTCGATAGGTAAGATAAACTTGAAAAAGGGAAGTATGACATTCTATGTCCAGCTAACACAGTCTTAATTTCATCTTGGTTGATAGGTATATATGCATTCTAAGAACTGAGGGTTACTTTAGAGAAAATAACCTAAGTAGAAAGAAATGTGAAAGAAGGGAAGTGGACAGGGAAGGCAAGTGACAGGTGTACAGAGGGGAGCAGGGCAGGAAAAATTACCAGCCAAAACAACAAAAAGACCAGCCAACAAAGATTCTCAGTGATCTGATGTATTTCCACATACACATAGTACCATTTCATTTGATGTAGGAAATCCTCCATTCAAACAAAATCCTTTATGTGCATATGCACTTTCCTTCTTGGCTTGATAGATTACACAAAACCTGTACAAACTGGTGACAGAATACTTAAACAGCAGTAGCCTGGAAGCAGGCATGTTAAAACTTCCATCTAGTACAAACAACACCTTGCCAAGTAACGCCAAGGGGAGGTAACACTGTTTTGGTAGCTAGTATAGCCCCTCAAAGAATGTGTGTTTCACCCACCCTTGGGCTTCTGTTTCATCCCGCTTCTGGTTTAGAGTTGGACTCTTAAACCTCTGTTGCAATGACTCCAGCTGTTTAGGTAACACAAAAAGATGCTGCCCCTGGTAGCAGTGTGAAGTATGTGAGAATCTGAGAGATTTTCTCCATCTGCCCCATTCCCCATCTCAGCAGAGTGGGTTTACTGGCAGTGAGCCATTACCTGGCCTTTGCCAATCCCAGATAAGACTGTGACTTAAAGACAGATGCCTTTCACTTTCTCAAATCCTGCATCAGCCTTTGGCTCGGCCAAAGCAGCTGGCTTTCTGACTTTAATACTACTTAAAAGACATCTGTTTTCTAAAGCTTATCTAGTTCAGTAGCAGTTTTGTTGGGTTTTTCTATTGATAGCAAGTAAAGCTCCTTGGGACCCATTGCATGAATGGTGTTGTAAAATAGCAATTCATATTTGCAACTGCTGTTTACTTATGTGCAGGGATCAGTATCTGATGTATTTTGCCCTCTTAATTCACAAAATAGGAGATCTGAATGTAATCTTTTACTATCTATTCTCATAAAAAACCAATGTTCCTACATAATATCAGTCTCCGTAACTCAGATTTAAAATCTTTGGCTTTGCTGGCTTTTTTTTCCTTCCAGTCAAACAGATAAAAAACTGAACTTGCTATATTTGGAAGATGTAACATGATTGAAACAGTAATCCAGACTTCTTTTTTTTTAATGGTTTAACTACCTTTTTTGATAATAAGCAAATCAAATACCATATATTCAATAAAAATGTGGATTTAAATGCTAATGCAATGACCCTAACCCATCCAATAGAAAATATGCAACTATTTCCAAATTTCAGGGGAAAACTAAACCTGTTAGCAAGATACTAGATAGTTAAGGCCTTCTTTAAAACCAGTGACATCTTAATGATTTATTTGAGCTTCAGATTAGAACGTCATTATACTTTGAAGAGACATCAAACCATCTATGATTTCTGTAAATATATTTTTTTTAGGACTACAATAACAACTTATTGGCTTTCCTATTTAGTCATGGTATTTTCTGTTCAAGTCTGCACTGCAAATAAGTGTGGAAAAATAAAATTTTCAGGAAGCATAAGAAGATGTAATAGCAAGCTCCACTTGAAAATGTGTGATAACTCATTGAAATCCCTGCTATCATGCCTCTCTAGGACAAAGATCCACGTGGCAGGCCAGTGCATGACACTCCATGCTCATAACAGTGTCTGACTCATAGCTATGTGATAAGAAAGTGGATTTATTGGCCACAATCCTCTGTAAAGACGTTTGATATCAAACCCAGAGTAAGTGCTTCTCATGTTCAGCATGCAGCTCCTGAGATCACCTTTCCCAGGCTGAAGCTGACTCCAAGGCTGACCATCAGGTAAACATTTTCCCTCACAGCTGCAGCAATGCACACCTGTTATTAATAAAAAGACAGACATCACACAGTTTATTACCCATTTTCTCTCTGTTTATCCTAACCTAGTCTATTTTCATGCAGCTGGGATAGCATTTATATTCTCTAGCATCTTCCACAGCAAATTTGTCACTTGTAAATAGAGGCCACAAACACAAACATGGGTCTGCTGTCCCAGAGTTATAAACCACCAATAATTTGTATTGATGAATAACTCTGTGATAACAAAAGACATCCAAGACAATTTGCTTATTCTTTCTGCACCCTTTGAGTGATATTCCTCCCACCAAAGTTCAGGCATTTACAAATTAGCTGTCTAGATTCCTTCCATATGGAAAGAAGCAGATGAATTGCGCTTTGGAGACACCAGTCTCTCTCCAGTAACTAAAAACTGACAGAGTTTGACTACCTGCATTTTCAACCAAATAAAATTATTTGAGATGAATCTCACTACTAGTATGTAATATGAGATTCTAGTGTAACTACTAGATCATAAATATAGAATATACATATATAAATCTTACCCGGTTCGTGAATTGATTCCACATAGCTAATTTGTGGACAAAAAAGAAAAAAAATAAGAAAAAATGGCCCTGTAAACCAGCAAAAAGACCTCCTTGATTAAGTCAGCTTTCTCCAGGGAATTTTCACTTTACAAAACATATTAGAGCAGCACAATGTGATGTCTTTCCCAGAACGGCTGCTTCCTCTAGTTGATAAAGGGAGGTTTATAATCGAGGAGAAAATATTTCAAGAGAGGTCAAGAAAAATGCAAAAATATATTCCCTCTGTGCACGTGTATGCTGTTTGCTTGGCACGCGTTTTGGATTGTTCTTTCTTCAAACAGGCATGTCTTGTTGAAAATAGCTGCAATTTTCTGAGCTTCATGATCACTGAAATAACTGTATATAATTACATGGCAGAAGCAAAGTAAGGTTTCAGTTGATTTAATTTATTTATGTCTCTCTTAATCCTATTTTATCCATTGTTTTACCACCTTCCTATCTCTGCTGCTGTCTGTTATCACTCCAGCCCTGAACCTCCCACTGTCTGGCTATAACCACTATAACGTTTTTAATTCTGGCACTTAGCTGATCCTATCCTAAACGCCTTTTATACCCCACTGAATGTAATCTGACCACTTAACATTTACATATCTGATCCTTTAGTCCATTCTCTCCTTTCACAAAGATATTGAACCTCCTGTGTTTTCCTCTTCACTTTTAGTGTATACTTCATATTTTCTGTAGACTGAAAGAGTTCTCAAGGCCAACAATAATCAGTAAACATATGTACCATTTCCAGTGTTTGCTTTAGATGTGATATTTATCTTATAACCAATATATCAACAATATTCTTTATATTTTATTTACAGGTTTTTCTATCATCTCGTGGAGATAGCTGCCTTCATGACAATGATAACTTAGAATCATAGAATCGTTAGGGTTGGAAAGGACCTTAAGATCATCTAGTTCCAACCCCCACGCCATGGGCAGGGACACCTTACGCTAAATCATATCACCCAAGGCCTCGTCCAACCTGGTCTTGAACATTGCCAGTAATGGAGCATTCACAACCTCCCTGGCCAACCTATTCCAGTGCCTCACCACCCTAACAGGAAAGAATTTCCTTCTTACATCAAACCTAAACTTCCCCTGTTTAAGTTTTAACCCGTTACCCCTTCTCCTATCACTACAATCCCTAATGAAGAGTCCCTTCCCAGCATCCCTATAGGCCCCCTTCAGATACTGGAAGGCTGCAATGAGGTCTCCACGCAGCCTTCTCTTCTCCAGGCTGAACAGCCCCAACTTTCTCAGCCTGTCTTCATACAGGAGGTTCTCCAGTCCTCTGATCATCCTCGTGGCTCTCCTCTGGACTTGTTCCAACAGTTCCATGTCCTTTTTATGTTGAGGACACCAGAACTGCACACAATACTCCAGGTGAGGTCTCACAAGAGCAGAGTAAAGGGGCAGGATCACCTCCTTCGACCTTCTGGTCACGCTCCTTTTGATGCAGCCCAGGATACAGTTGGCTTTCTGGACTGCAAGCGCACACTGCCGGCTCATGTTCATTTTCTCAACTTGTCACAATACTGTCACAGAGGATTCAATATCAAGAACTTCTGGGAAGGAACATTCAAGTGCAGGCTGAATTTGACATCATGTACACTTTCAAGGGTCACAGGTGACTTCATTTAACCTGATAGAATTATGCTGCTAGATAGAAAGTTCAAAATGAGACTGTGTTACAGCCTCCTGAATAGTCATGCTATGTGCACACTGTCACAAAACCTTTCACCTTCTCATTTGCAAACCTCAGAAACTGGAGAAAAAACAAGCGTAGATGATCCATGTACTGTTAGTATGGTCAGGAAAGAATGGGGAAATGGACAGTTAGCCATCTGTCCCATACAAAAAAATCCACCAAGCATAAAGTAACAAAGAAAAAATTAATAGTTCTTGTCTTATTATCCTTCGGGGGAAATGTAATTTCATTTTTACAATTCTAGGATTACAAATAAGAATTTTTATTTTTTTTAAAGTGACTCATAATTTCACATAAAACTTCAGCACACCTTTGGAAAACAGAAGACATTTACTGTGCATTTATTACAGTGTTCCTCAGTGAAATTCTCCCTCAGAAGTCTTAATTCTTAGAGAGAACACAGTTAAAATAATATTTGCTAAAAAGACCCACAACTTTACAAAGTTATTTTGTAGGAATAATCCAACTATCCTGATGTAACTTAAAATGTTACAAAGGTACTGAAATAACTAAATCTAGAGATGTCTTCTTGGAAAGATTCAGAATCAGAAAATTATATAGCTCATGTTTTTAACCAGTGAAGTACCCTTCCTTTGGTTTTAGGGAATTCTTTTAATCTGTCTTCTCTTCTTCAAAATCTTTCATTTGGTTCTGTGCATCTTCAAGGTATATTAGTTACAACTTCCTTTTCCTCTTCAAAGCACAATACATTTTTTTCTCCTTTCCCTGTGTTCATTCTGGTACACTTTCTAACTCGAAAGGAAAGAAGAATCTTCCTAAGGCAAGGTGGCATCTAACAAAGGGCTGCCTACAATGGCAGGACTAGGACAACAATGCTATTCAGAATAGTCAATTAAGTCTCAAATGGGATAATTAGATGTGATAAACTGAATAATTTCAAAACAAGGATAGTGCAAAGTAGGTAAAAATTAAGCTGAAAGAATATATGGTAACTGGCATAATGGAGAAAAAAAATAAAGGTCTGCTAGGTCCAGATGGGTCACTTGCTAAGCACCTCACAAACATGGTTAGGTTACTTCCAGCTCCGAGTTAGAGCGTAATATAGATAATCTGCATAAATAAATTGAGCACTCCAAATTCTGGTTTCTATGTTAGTTTATATTCCTAAAGCACAGAAAGCTGTTACTATAAGGAAATTCAGGCAATGGATTGTGTAAATGTAACTGTATGTAATACATATGAATAAAACATATCACACAGTGTTTTTTGCATGAAGTCTCGATACCATAATATTGTCTTTAAGATGTGAAGAAGAGTGTCTCAGGGCACTTAGTCAAATATTTGTGCATTTTATACTAATTACCCATACATTTTAGGCACACATTCAAACACTCAACTACTTGATCATTATAATTATTGTACATTCCAGATCTCTGAAACACACCAGATCCCTAACTGAAAGGAAGAAAATTATCTTGAGGCATGCTGTAACAAAACAATTTAAAATAGCCTAGAAACAATGCCCTTTTTGTGCTGCCTACAATGTCTTCCTGCAGTGTACAAAAAAGCACAATAAACTTTTAATCTGAGCTAAGAGAAAAAACTTCCTGATACCTAGATACCTTAAAAGCCAAAGAAAACTTGCAATGTCTTTATACCCAGCTGAGTCCACCTCTATGTTTACCCTTATTCCTCAACATAAACCAATGCTGTCCTTCTATGCAGTAATCTTCCTGAGAACAAACTGGCAAGAAGTCAAAAGCAGCAGAGGAATGAGGCAGCTAAGCTGCCATGTAGTTTGGAAATCAAGTCCAAACAGCATTTAAAAAAAAAAAAAAAAAAATCTTCACTGTGCTGCCATCCAAACTATGAAGCTGACTCACATTTTAAAACTAAATTCCAGAGATGCCTACAATTGATATAGCTGAGTAGTTCACAATGCTTGGCTCTCACCTGGTTTATATGGCTAGATTAGGATCCAAAATTGTGTGATTTCTTACATGTGTTCCCCAAGGAACTCAACTTGAGAGATATTGAGAGAGCATATCTGATACACATTCAACTTTCAAGTAAAACATAACCCCTCTTCATCATAAAGAGCTGTGAAATTGAAACACAGCCTCTTCCTTAGCCAGTTTCAAATGTGCGGGGATTTTTTTTCTCTTTCTTCATATGACTATGACTAGAAAAGGAACAGGCAATAATGGAAAAACACCTAAGCCACATTAATTTAGTGCCTAGGATAGTTTCTGAGGAGGTCTACTTCCTTGAGCAGGTTTTAGAAATTTCCCGGTCCTTTAAACATTCAGTCTTTGCTGCCTTCAGTTTATTTACTTTCTTAGCCTAATATCCAGATTATTAGATCACAGCATCATGTTGTGTCCCAGACCCATGATGTCTAATTTTTCTAATTAGTGCTGTAGGCTTCCATTTTTTGATGCAATAAGGAAATATTAAACCAAGATTTCTGTATTTATAGGCCAAATTATCTGACCATAATACTGAAGTTCTTCTTACAATTCAAGGCTTCAGCACTTGTCTTCAGGAGAGGAGTCAGGTAGCTTGACTCTGGGACAGGATTAATAACTCAGTCACCCACCCAGTTCTTTAACACTCAGCAGCTACAAGCACAGCATGTTATTCTAAATGTCAATCTTACTCTACCTATGAATTGCCTGTGAACTTAGATTTCTAATACAGAAGTCTTCCCTGGGAAAAAGGCCATAGAAGTAATAGCACCAAGAAGTGAATTTACTTGAATTGGTCTTTTAATA